CAAGCACTTCTATGAAAGGAAAGTTCCTCGCTGACGACGACCTTTTTTGACCTTTCAGAGAGGCCAACTTCGATACCGCCAACCCTCCGTACATCCGCAAGTACCTCCGCACATACGGTCTGACTCCTCCGCGCGCAGAGTCCTACGAGGTCCAGAAAACAAGATGTACGTATACTGGGATGTCGATTTTCTCACGGCGACGAGGGAAAGCTAATTGCACTACAGGTCTGGCACAATTGGCCTTGAAGCAAACCGCCATTGACAAGTTTCTCTACCTGAGCACTCTTCGCAAGAACAATGTGCATTTATTTTACCGTCTGGTGACGGATCATCTGAGGGTATGTACAGAAAGTGGGGACGAAAACAAGCTGCATTACAAAGGCCATGCCTGCAAGCTATATTTTGTAGATCAGAAATCTAACATCCAGTAGGAACTTACCCCTCTGATCTATACCCCGGTCGTCGGTGAAGCTTGCCAGAGATGGTCTGAGATCTACCAGCAACCGGAAGGTGAGTTTCAGTACCTTGTCTAGCTCAGCTGCAACGAATCAAACCCGGCCGCTAACGACTTAATCCCAGGTATGTACTTAAGTTGGGAAGATCGCGGCAATCTTGCTGCTGTCATTGCCAATTGGCCCCAGCCCAATGTGGAGATCACATGCATCACCGATGGCTCCCGAATTCTCGGCCTCGGCGACCTTGGCATCAATGGAATGGGCATTCCTATTGGCAAGTTGGCGCTCTACACTGCATGTGCAGGTATTCGCCCCGAGGCCACTCTGCCTTTGACTTTGGATCTGGGAACAAGCAACAAGACTCTCCGGGAAGACCCGTTGTACATGGGTAGCCGCCGTGACAAGATTACTCCGGAAGAGGAGCGGGAGTTCATGGATGAGTTGATGGCTGCTCTTACGGAGCGTTGGCCTGGGTAAGTAGTGACTCCTGATCGACCCAACATCTTCCGATATTACGGGCGCTAACGGAGTGGCTCACGCCCTGCAGCATTGTCATTCAGTTCGAAGACTTCAAGAACCCCTTCCCTGCCTTGGAGCGCTACCGCGATATTTACACGTGCTTCAACGATGATATCCAGGGCACGGGAGCCGTCATCCTGGGTGGAGTCATCAACGCCGTGAAGCGCTCGGGCCTTCCTTGCAAGGATCACCGTGCTGTCTTCTTTGGTGCGGGAAGCGCCGGTGTCGGCGTTGCTAAACAGATTGTTGCTTTCTTCATGCGTGAGGGCATGACTGAGGATGAGGCCCGGTCCTGCTTCTACCTGGTTGACACCAAGGGTCTCGTCACCACTGACCGTGGCGACAAGCTCGCCGACCACAAGGTTTACTTCGCCCGGGAGGACAATGAGGGCCAGCAGTATAAGACCCTTGAGGAGGTTGTCGACTATGTGAAGCCAACCATCCTCATGGGTTTGTCTACCATTGGTGGCGTCTTCACCCCAGAGATCCTACGCAAGATGGCCGACTGGAACACCGCTCCTATCATTTTCCCTCTCTCCAACCCCTCCTCCAAGTCCGAGTGTGACTTCGAGACCGCTATCACTCACACCGATGGTCGGGCTCTCTTTGCCTCTGGTTCTCCCTTCCAGCCTTTCTCATTCACCAACTCTGCTGGAGAGACTCGCACCTACTATCCAGGCCAAGGCAACAACATGTATGTCTTCCCTGGTATCGGTCTGGGTACTATCCTCTCCAAGGCGGTCAAGATCACCGACAGCATGATCTATGCCTCGGGTGCGGCCCTCTCGCAGGCCCTGACTGCGGAGGAGATCGAACGTGGTCTGCTCTATCCTGACTTGACCCGGATCCGCCAGGTCAGCGTTGTGGTGACACGCAAGGTCATCCGTGCTGCACAGGAAGACAAGGTTGATCGTGAGACCGCCTTGCGCACCATGAACGATGACGCGCTTGATGCGTGGATCAAGGCCCGCATGTATGACGCTCACAGCGAAGTTCTGGCCTTGGAGAGGGAAGTTGGTGCCCTCTTGCACAACCTGAACCCATCCTCCCTCTTGAATGGATTGTCGAGTGAAGATAATGCCAAGCTTTAAACGGCTCGTATTCTTTTTGTTCTTCTTTCTTCCCTCATACCCTTTTTTCCCTCATCTTCTCCATGCTCGACTCCGTAGCATCTCCCCCTTCGAGCAATCTTGCGTCACTAAAACCCTGGCACTTTCCAGGCTGGTTTGATTTGATTTGAAGCGCCTTTTTTTTTTATTTTTTTTTATGTTCATGCCTCACGGCCGTTGGCTAGAAGGATGCACTTGTTCCTGTATACCCCGTTCATCACTAATTGCGATTTGTCCTACATTTTTGGACTTGGGTATTTGTTCGGTTCGTTTTAGAATGGTCCATGATTGTGGTATTTCGGGCAAATTGAATGAATAACAATTGATTGAATTGGACTTGTTTTCATGATGTTTCGTGTTCCATCCAACTCTTAGAGTAAGTAAATTGGTATAGGTAATGGGCTGGGGATCTCTCTGGGCTGGGGCCGTGAACCTCCACCTGGACCCTCGCAAGCTTTTCCCCTCGTGGGCGGGCATGTGAAGTGGGGAAGTGCGGAGGCTTTGCATTTGAATCTCTCCGGCGGGCGGAGCTAAGGTTAAGGTTGTGCAGATCTAATCTTCACCCCTTCGCAATGGATGTCGCATTGGGATTTGGGATGGATTTTGAATGGTTCCCGGTAGTAGGAATGTTGGAAACATGTAAGAAAAAGATTTTCCTTTATCTAAATCTATCAGAGTTGGTTAACAACAAACAACACCATTGGCCATATATTCGGACCCCCGCTCCACGTGGTTTTTCCATATCCGGTAAACCTGAAGATAGGGGCATCCTCTTCTTCTGCTTCTTCCTCTTCCGCAAGCAACAAGAGCTTGCGCATTGAGCATGGCAATAGTAGCGGAGAAACACATGGAATTTGTAACATGCTACAATGCCTTGCACTCGGGGTCATATCTCTTCGATTCGATTCTTTTCTGAATACTTATTTATTACATTATTACTATTTATGACTAACATGTTTTTATGATTGCTAATGGAGTGCTCCCCATTATTAAGTATCACTAATCAATCAATATAGTGGGTGAAACTGAAGACGACCAAAAGTTTCCTTCATGAGGCTTTCGGGAAACCCCATCCGTTATCCGTTCGGCTTGCCTTTGCTCCGCGCTTCACCATGAGAGAAGTGGACACTATCTGCCTCGGTTGTACATATCCGATCTGCGCAAAAGTATATCAGTCCTGAGCGTCCTCTGGTACCTGGTCACATTAGCCCAACCAATTCAATATTTTCTAAAAATTAATATACTACCGCAATGCCGTCTTCTCTAGGCGACGCTGTCAAACTCCCTTGCGGTTTAGTGTTTCCCAACCGCTTTGTTAAGGTAAAAGACCTATCTTGAGGCACAAACCCATTTTTCTAACAGTGCTGTCAGGCTGCAATGGCCGAGATGCTGGCGGGATGGGAGCATAATCCGACGCCGTCAATGCTTGAGGTTTACAATCAATGGGGTCAAGGAGGGTGGGGTGCTCTTCTCACAGGTAAAGCCTTTGATAGCCCGATGTGCAACCTACTACTACATCAGTGTATTTACGTGATCTCTCAGGAAACGTCCAAGTTGACATAGACCACCTCGGGAGTCACTTCGACCCTGCTCTGCATGGTGAATATACCGGCAAAGAGGGTAACGAAGCCCTCGTTGAGAGCTGGGCCAAATATGCCCAAGCATGTCAACAGCATGGAACTCCTGCCATCGTGCAGATCAGTCATCCCGGTCGACAGTCAATTCGCGGTGCTGGCAACCGTGGTCTCTTTGCGCCGACTATAGCGCCGAGTGCGATTCCCGTGCAGATTGGGGATGGTTGGTTGGACGGATTCGTTAGCAGAATCGCATTCCCGGCACCGAGAGAGATGACACAGGCGGATATTGACACTGTGACGAGGAAGTTTGTTGATACGGCTCGGTTAATGGCCGATAGTGGATTCTCCGGCGTTGAGTTGCATGGTGCCCATGGATATTTAATTGGTACGTCACTCTGAACCTGTAGATGTCTCTGCGGATCAGTTGCTAATAACGCAGATCAATTCTTGAACCCCAAGGTAACGACTCAGCTCAGGCAACTGCTAAAGCGCTAATTAACGCCTTGGCGACAGACAAATTTTCGAACAGATGCGTACGGCGGCACTTCGGAGAAGAGAGCAAAATTTGTCCTAGATATTATTACCGAAATACGGAAAGCCGTTCCATCGAAGTTTTGTGTGGGCATCAAACTCAACTCTGCAGACCACAGCTCATCAACCTTTGAAGAAACCATGACTCAAATCGGATTATTGGTGGAGGCCGGGATTGACTTCCTCGAGGTCAGTGGTGGAAGTTATGAAGATCCCAGTGTAGGCACCCTCGCCCGATCATCTATTTGTCCATCACACAGGCTCATCGCATACAGATGATGGGGGGCACGCAGCCGCAGAAGAGCGCCCGCACAGCAGCCCGTGAGGCTTTTTTTATTGAATTCGCAACAGAAGCCCGCAAGCGGTACCCCGATCTTGTCTTTATGCTGACAGGTGGCTTCCGAAGCCGCACAGGTGCCGAGTACGCCATCAAGGAGAATGCATGCGATCTAATTGGAATCGGCCGTCCGGCGGCTATTGACACCAAGTTCCCTCAGTTGCTCCTCGATGAAGGTGTTCCAGATGCAAAAGCGCAGATGCTTTTGAACAAGGTTCCGGCTCCATTTTATACTCGTTTCCTTCCTACAAAGATCATAGGTGCTGGGCTAGAAACTGTAAGATACCCCATTGACGTTTAAGAGACAGCTTGCTAATCAGAACAGACATATTACGGGTGGCAGATTCAACGAATAGCAAAGGGACTGATGACCATGGTACCGTCTGTTTAATTGCACCATCGGTGCTCTTTATAATGTCTTTTTTGTATGAGTACACTTAATATCATGGACCCGGATTTATTGAACGGCATATGGTCAATTCATCTCGTCTTTAATTGTTTATCAGTGTTTATTGGAAGGTCTTCGGGGCCGGTTTTTTATATACAGTCCATCCCAGCATCCTAGCTTTACAGACTCAGTATCAGTCTAACTGAACCTCTTATCCAGCAACTTTGGCAAACTGTCCACGCTGGTCTTGCCTACGAGGATACCTGTCAGATATTAGCAATCACAGTTCAGAGAACCGGTCCCCAAAATCATAGACGAAACTCACCGTATACAGCGTCGAACAAAGGGAAGTCCTGCACTTTACCATGCTTCTCAAGGAATTCGTGAACGGACTTCGCAGTGGATGTCCCCTGCAACTTCTGCCCGTTCATCTCAGTCTTTTCAATTTCGTCTACGCCCACTCCCTTCTCCACGGCATGCTTCGCAGATCGGAAGTTCCTTCCAGCAGAGCAAGACGCGACCAGATCAGCAATTCCCGCACTCTCCTCTGTAAACGTTCTCTCGTTGACAGACTGTGGGAACCAAGCCCGTCCAAACTTCACCATCTCCACCACCCCAACCCGAATAACTGCTGCCTTGCCATTCTCTCCCCATCCTTTCCCGGCGACAAAGCCTGCCGCCAATGCCACGATATTCTTCAGCGCACCGCTCAGCGCAACGCCCGCAACATCATCCACCACATTGACATGGAAGTACGGTCGTCCAAACAACGTCCGCCACAGCTCCGCATCAACCGTCACAAGCTCCTGTGGCACCCGTGTCAATTTCGTATGCGTCGGCCTCGTTCTCACTTGTCTCTGCTCATCAATTTTAATCTTATTGTCCTCTGGACTTCCATCCTCGGCCTTGACATCCATCGGCGGTGTATCATATCCAATAGTCGTCTCACTGAACTTCTCCGCCGCAACCTCCGGCGCAATATTTGCCCCAGACAGCGACCCACAATAAATCCCCAACTTCTCCATTATCAGCTCCGAAAACAACGTCACCATCCCATCCGTCACATCCACGCCCTTCACACACGATATCGCCCGCGCATACGGTAAGTGCTTCCCCTTAATCTGACCCAGCGTCTTCTCGATAAACTGATGCGGGAGATTGAAGACCAGGATCGTTGCGTCCTTCACCACGTCCTCGAGGACCGGGTTCGCGACCACGTTCTCTGGGAGCTTGATCCCCGGTAGGTATTTCACGTTCTCGTGCACGGCGTTGATTACCTCGGTTAGGTTTTGGGGCTTGTCGCCGTATTTAGAGTGGTGGGGGGAGTCGGACGGGATCTGGATCTGTTCTTCGAATACCCACATTTGGACCTTCGGGGTGAAGAGGTCTGGGTGTGATGCCGTATTTTCGGCGAGGATCTTGGCGATCGTAGAGCCCCTATATTTGGGTCGTTAGTAGTGGGTTGCTTTGGGATGGGTGCCGATGGTTATCTGTATGTACCAGTTTCCGGAGCCGATGACGGCTACGGTGTGTTGTTTCTTTTGTTGTGGCATTTTTGTTAGATATTAGTTTGTACTATTGGGTCAAGATTGACTGCAGATATCTTGGAAAACTGCTTGGTTGCGTTGATTCAATGTGTATATGTATCCGAATGTGGAATTATGATGTATTTGTTCTTGATCGGTGCATGTTGCAACGACGTCATCTAGACGTGACCTTTTAGCCAACACCAGACGTCACAGACCTTGCCAGCACAACAGTCTATAGATGATTTTATGCTTCACATGTGTGGCATCGTCTTGGTTATCTCATTGGATTGCTAGGCCGTGTTGGATTTATGCGAAAATATAATATATGGTGATATCAAAGTTTGACCTTAGTTTTTTAGGTATGTACTGTACATGGCAAACCTGCTGCATAAGAACTTTTTTTTTTCAATGGTAAATTAACAAGTTCATAGGTTTATTGTTAAAGATTTAGTCTATGATCTTCCATATACTGTAGTAGTTAAAACAGTATTGTTTATATCAAATCTTTCACTATATTTCACTTGTGTTAAGCAAACTGCTTTCTTCTTT